CCCCAAAACCCCAAAACCCCAAAACCCCATTTCTAACTTTCCAAATTGATTTCCCTGGTCCCAATACCAATTCTTCCCTTCTAAAACCCCTTAAACCCCATCAAAACTCAACTTTCCTTCTAAACTTGCTTAAAATTCACTTCTTTACAGTCAAAAATCCCTATTTCTTCTTTCTCTAGCACCCCTATTCCCCCACTCCTCTTTCCTCCCCCTTCCTTCCTCACCTCCTTAACCCTCTCCCTCTTCCTCCTCACCACCTCATAATTCCTCCTACTCCGTTCAGTCTCCTTCACAAGTCGTGCCTTCACTTCTAAAATCTTCTCTTCAAGAGAAGCACATTGCTTCTCTTTAGCGAAGATTTTATCGATTTGCTTAATTCCTCTATCGATCATTAGGGTTTTAAAGTTTTCGTGCTTGTTCTTTTGGGTTTCGTATTCTTCTTGTAGAGCAAATGACTTATTTGTCAAATTCACGCTGTGGGATGTTGTTTCGTAGTGCGATTTTATTTATTGATAAGGGCGTTTTTGTGCTTGGAGAGTTTAGTGTATTCGTTGCGGATAGATTTGTGGAGAAGTTCGAGGTCTTTTAGCTCATTTTGTGCAGCAAGGTTGGCTTGTTTGTAGTCAGCTATTTTAGAAGCGGCTTTTGAGATTTTGGAGTTAATCTCAGAAGAGGGATTTAAGCTAGTTAAGTCCTTCCATTGATTATACAAACTGTCTACGAGCTTCTTTTTATGAGATTCTAGTTTGATAACCTCTTTGTTTAACTTTTGGATTTTATTAGTATAAGATACCACCTTCTTGTTTTCCTCCATTGACATTGCCTTCTGGCTAAGGCCTTTGATGTACTTCTGTGCGATTAAATTCTGTTTCTGAAAATTTTTCAGTTCCTCACGTTTATCACGCAACTCAGGGTCTTGAGGAATAGTCCTATGAGTGATTATTGTCTTATTTCAAATTTGAAGCTCTTAGGATAGCATCTTTGCAGAGCTTTATCATATCTGTGATTTTATCTCTAAGTTTCATGTTATGCATCATCATTTCTTCCATGTTGAATCCATAGCTATCTCTAAAATAAGGATTAACAAGGGAATTTTATTCCTGAATTTAATCTAGAAATACGTTTTAATTCGTACAAGTAATCGTCTTTTGGCATTTCTTTTTCGAGGTAATCGATCATCAAGTCTATTGTAGGGAGGTCTTGGTCTAGACCATCAATGTCAAAGTCATTGGCAGGAAGTCTAGCAGGATTATGAGTGTTAACTCTGATCCTATAGTAACGCTTAGAGGAAATTTATAGTTCAAATCTCACCTTCCCTTGTTTCTGAAATTTCTCCTTTTGCCAAAAGAACCATTTACTCTAGATACTCGCATAACATGTTTATAGAACGAGAGGGTGCTCTTGTTGCTGTTCCTACCTCTGTTACGCTTCATAGGAGAGCCATAATAATCTGACTGAGAAGTTATAGTATTTGGAATTTTGTTACCAAAGTCCATGTCTTTATATTTATCAGCAGATCGCTCTTCTGATTTCTGCCTTGAGTTTCTTTTTCTAGAGTTGTTTCTCGACATCTTTCGTAAATAAAGCTCACCATCTTCATATTGATCTCTGACCACTAAAGGGGTTACAGGTCTTGTCAGCACATGAACGTACTAATTGCTCGAATATTGTGTCGGCTTGAATTCTCTGGGGTGTAATCAGACATTCTCTATTGGGTAGTTTTAATCAAAGTATTTTACAATTATATTTTAACAATTGGGGTTTTGGGGTTTTGGGGTTTTGGGG